CACAGACGGCCAAGACACTGACAACCGCCTATAAAAACGCTACTGACCAGACTAGCTCCTAGTCGTTAACTATGTTAAATTCCATTTAACTATATTATTAATAAAAGTGATCAATAGCCCTTTTCACAGTTAATTTTTCTCATTTACATTACAATGTAATCCAACGTGGATGCGAGGCAATTTGGGGCTAAAACTGCGAAATAGCCCGAAATTGCCTCGCATACATGCTAGATTTTATTGTAATGCAAATGAGCAAAGGTAACCGTGGAAAGGGCTATTGAACAGCAGCTTTATTTTCAAACATTTTTTCAGCAACCCATGACGTGTTGCATTCTCCAGATAAATTACCTCATTGTTCAACTTCTCAACACACCAAGATAACCTAGTGTTCTTTAGGATGAGGTCTTAGTCAACTACAACTCAATTTTCCAAGCTTCAGGGTACAAAAAAAATTGAACTTCATTTGTCCAGTGGACATTAGTGAAGTTCTCATTTGACTTGTCCAGACCTCAAGTCTAGTTGTCCTTGGATGTAGAGTTAAATTCAAGTTCTAACTGTAGTGTGCAATGATAATGTTCCTTTGATGCATTAAGATGAACAAGAGAATCTATGCAGTGCCTTCTGTCAGATTCACAGCAAATGATCACAGAACTTTGCAGATTTGTTAAAGCAGGATTCTTTCTACATATGAAGTAAAATATCACAGTACAATGTCTTCACTCACATCGTGTACTACCCAGGGCAAGACTCAAAACACTCCTCAAGTCGTTGTTTTCATAATTTCCATCCTTGATTAACAGTTTTGGTCACACTTTTATTTATATATTTTTCCTTCCAAATAATTTTAAAAAATTGTAATGTAAAGAGGATAATTTGTACACCAAGATTATGTAATAAAATTAAAATTGTAGTGATACACTAGTCCACTGACTACAAGTAAAGAAAAACTTTGACTGACCTGCCATGTTGAATTTATTTCACTTCCTCCACTAATTCATCTGGTGTTTAATGTGTTTCTTGTTTGTCCTGATAAGAGATACAAACATATTGTTGAGTTAGTTACAATTTCTTACAATTTCTTACTGTTGGTATGCTTTAGCGTCGTACATTTGACTGATCTAGGTACACTGTCTTGTGAACAACATCGCAGATGTACCAGAAACATAAACTGACCTGATTTGTAGCTGTATCTGACTCCTCCATTGATCTTAGTTGCCCCACGTTGTTGTTTGCTTCTTGTTAGCCTGCTAAATGAATGAAAATATTTCTAATCAGTGAAAGATCTAACAGTTGCTGTTTACTGTTGAGTAGAAGTTATTACATGCAACATTGAAAATTGCATTAAAAATGCTGAATAAATAAAAGTGATCAATTGAACAGCAACTTTATTTACATTTTTCCAGCAACCCATGATGTGTTGCATTCTCCAGATAAATTAGCTCATCGTTCAACCTTCTCAACAAACAAACAAAAAAATCCAGCGTTCTTTTGAATGAGGCCTTAAACTACAGTAATGAATCAAGCCAATTTTCTGCCAAGCCCTTGCCGATCCATGGCATCATTGACTTGACTACAGCATAGACTTAAATTCAGTAGTTTAACACAAATACTACCTGTATTACTGTAGCTGCCATGTGGAGTTGTTAACTACCATATACATTGTATACACAAAAAATTACCTTTCTACTTCACGTAGCTTTATCTCACATCCACCACTGGCCTTTCAGTTCTCCAGGCCCATCACTTTATGTTCAGGTGCTTCATGTTTTACCTGATAAGTAATACAGACACTTTAATAAGTGACATGCTGTCTATTTTTTTTTAATACGTACATTTAACAATATGCCCACAACGTTCAAACAACCATAAATCAATCATGTCAATACAAACCAATGAAAGTGTAAATTAAAATAAGAGTTAATCCATTACTAAGATTACTGTTCGGAGGGGGAGGAGGTGGCTGGAAAAATTCACAGAAAAGACAACCAAAACAGTTCAGGAGGAAAAATGTCGGGCAGGCCTGGAAAAAATTTCCAGCTTACCCCTGGTCGGGGTAAGTGATAATCTCAGTTGTTCAGGTGTATGTAAGGCAAAGGTGACAGAAGCTGTGAAAGGTTTAATTCAAGCCACGGAATGGTTGGCATATATCTGTCTGGCAATTAATATTTTGAGTTACTGCATTGGTAAAAAAGATTTTCAAATAGCCCTTCTGTTGTGGATAAAAAGTCTTGAGAAAAGATCTTTATAATTGTGAAAGTTTACTGTCAGAAACATTATTTTCAGTTAGCCCATTAGCACCTGGAGATTTTTGGCAAAACTGCAGTTTTTAGACATTTTTGACATTTCCAGCATGGACACAGACTAAATTAGCTCCAATCTGCTCCCAAATTCATTTGCAATACAAAAGCATATCTTTCTCTCCACTAGCATTGCATTTTATGACATTTTTGCTCAGGCCAGAAGCTTGACGTTGTGACCACTAGAATGGCCAATGCAAGCAGATTTTTTTCACTGGCAACTAACTTTTCACACTTGCAGGTTGCCAGGCTGGCTTGTGAGATATCTTGATTCCATTTTTTTTTTTTTAATTTTCATACATGTACTCATTGATTGAGTGGAATAAATGTTGACCACCAAACTATACTTCTCCTTAAACACGCATGTAGTCTGAAAATAAAGTAACAAAGAATTTCATTTGGCCATTTTCCTTGTAATTTTAGAAAAAAGTGACAAACTGGTTATAGATGTACATGAAAGTCATGTGTTTCACGCCATTTTAGTGTCTTTTCAATAGCAATAGGTGTTGTTGAGGGAAATTTTCCTCCAAGTTTTCTACTCAAATTTCTAAGCATTTTCATGCATATATCAAGCTCAATTGACCCAATCACTCTAACCTAAGTATCATTGGAAAGATCTCTTCCTCCTGCAGAACTTGAGTATAAGTGAAGCCAAGTTTGGTCAAAGGTGATGACGTTAGAAGTGGAACAAAGGCCAACACCCATCACAAGCAGTTATGGGCGGCACAGGTGTCAATGGGTTAAAGAAACTTTGGTTATTGCTTATCGTAAGTTTTCCTCTTTAAGAGATTAGTGGGGTGTTTTATGAAAAGAGAAACTTCATATAAAGCAAAGATTACACTATGTCAATCATGATTTAATGGGAAATTCACAGTTTTGCTCATAGAGCACTTTTAACATTTTACTGCTATAACCGAAAAGAACTGAAAATAGTTATTTAAATTAATAATTTCCAAAATCTAAAAGGGAACATTCAATATTCTGCATTACACGCTCCTGATCCACCTTTACAAATAAATTAATCAAGGCTGCTGCCTAACGATTTCCCGGTCTCATGAGGCACCTAAGTTAGGAGTGCGGGAGAGAGTGGGTGCCTAAACATGGAGTGTTCATTTCCATCTAATCTGTCACATGACTTTATTCCTTGTATCTGGGAATTACAAGCAATTCCCGACTGTAACTTTATTCCACCAGCTTAAAAATTCCCATTAAAAAGCCTTTCAACCATCACCGGTCATCATCATCGATCGTACAAAGCTACCGTTCATTCTGAGCAGCCGGGATGTTTCTCTTAAAATTGTTCAAAACATCAGTCACACAATAAATTAAATTGAAAACAACAGTTGCCCTGGTCTTATTTTGATTTTGTCACCAGAAATATGGGCCAAGTCACAACAACAAAGTCTCTCTCCACTCACAAAACAGCCGAAAACAGCTATTTCTGAAAATCACCCTAATATATACATGTAGATTTAGCAAAGCCTAAAAGTGGAGTTCCTGGGCCAGGTTGTTCAAAGCTCGATTAAGGTAACCTAGGATAAGTGAGAAATTTGATTTGAGTTTTGTAACTTTGCGGTAATCTCAAACTACACAAAACAAAAGCAGTGAAGAACATCTGTATAGAAACAGTATAAAAAAGTAGCCTAGGCAATACTCCATTTTATTGTAATCACACATCATTTACATTTTTATCTCTTACATGTAGCTCTTTTCCCACGTCTTTTGTCTTCTAGTTTTATAAACCTTTTGGACCACTTTTCATATAAATTTTCATTCGTGTGCCAACATTTTCATTCGTTTAAGGCTACAGACTGATAGCCAAAAGCTCTTGTTTTATTCTTTTTGACCAGAGAATGTTTTTCACTACTTTTTAATTACAAATAGTGTCAGGCATTGTACACTCATAGCGAGCTTTGTCGCAACAATGTTTGTCATGTTCTTCTTTTTTTCATATGTTTTCTGTGTGTTTACTGTAATTATGGAAGAACCTATGTAGATAACTTGAAATGTATCATGAAAGAAAGATATACATGTAACTGAAAGATTTCAACTTTTTTCAGATTTACATGAGAGAGCGCTCAATTGTCACGTGTCACACATCTATAAGTTTGAGGTTACACTTGGTTGGAAATGATCCAGGAAGAAGACATTTTCAGGTTCAAACCCCTTTCTGCCTGGATTTCCAGGACCTTTGACCCCCCCTCCCCTCTCCCCCC